CTTTGCCCTGAGATTCCCATTTAGTTCTTTGGTGTTGAAATTTTCGTTCTGGGTCTTGTTCACTTCTGTTATTTGCTTGTAATTTATCGAAATGGCGCTTGAGTCTTCCATTCTGACTTTGCCTAGGTACAATTCTTGCTCGAAATCATGGAGTTTCATGTGTTGCAATAGGCAAACAAAATTTCCCATGAAGGTTTTGCTGCAAAATAATCGATACCCATTTCAATTGCGGTCGAACTGCATTGGTAATAGTGGTTTTAGGAGCTTCTTAGGTCCAAGATGTGAAGGAGTTGACGTGTTGGTTAATAGAGCTCGTTTGCAAGCTCTAGCTGAGGATAATGAGAGTTCGGGCAGTGCAGATGTTGTTTCGGGTTCAAAGTTTGATTTTGTTAAGGAATTGGTAAAGTGCGGAATTGTTTTGGCAGCCATGGTTTGTGGGGTTTTAATTTATGGGTGCAGAAGAGCTTTTGCGGTGGAGGGTGTGGTGAATGCAGGCTATGGGGTTATTGGGCAGAGCATATTGTTGCTCAGGAATGCCTGGCCGAAGACATTGCAGGTTCTTCAGCTCTTCAAAGAGCAGGGTTTGATTTTGGCTTTGCTTTTGGGACTCTCAGCGTTTTTCTCAATGGCGGAGACTTCAATTACCACACTGTGGCCCTGGAAGGTATGAATTGGTTATGCTCTGTGAATGCTTATATCATAGGCATTGTGAAAGATTGCTTTTGATTTGTTTGGATGACGAATTTTTTGTCCACCTCTGGACATTGCACTCTTTATGACTTTTTTAATGAAGTAACTTGCAACTAAGCCATTTCTGATGATGTTCGAAATGATAAACTGTAAGTGCAAGTTTTATGTTATTTATCCTTTTAAGTTATGGGTAATTTGACTTAACAATGGAGGAACACTGTATATTTGTCAATGCCAACTATTTATCATTCATTAACATTTGTGTGCTGGTTTCCATGTCTGGTTTTATATCCTTGTACCCTGAAGTAGAGTTAGACTCTTGTTCTCTATAGATTGTATTGGAAATTACATTTTTGACCTTGGAATGCAAAGCATCCTTTCTTAAACTTGCTAATTCAACAGACTTGATTTCATACACGAGGGTTAAAAGTATTTGTGGTTAGCTTTTTGAATGACCTCCAAATAATATGGAATTAAGGACCTTAATATATTATGGCTTTCTTCTTTTTCAGTGCTTATGTGTACATAAAATTGTAACTTTGAAATGTGCATATCCAATTTTCAGTAAATGATCAACCTATTAGCTTACTGAAAGAAAATGAATGATCTGACCCATTAGGATCTTGAAATAACATCAGTTAATTGATATTAATGTGTGTCAGGTGCGTGAGTTGGCTGAGAAAGAGTCTGAAGATGGTGTCTTCAAATTGCTTCGCAACGATGTTACTCGGTTCTTAACAACCATACTTATTGGAACAACGTACTTTCCTTCTCATTTTTGTTGGTATTAATTTTTCTACTCTTCCATCGTGAAGTTGAACATTTCTTTCTTATTGTAGAATTTCCTTATGTACTCAGTGTTGTCAATATTGGAGCAACTGCTTTAGTTACAGATGCTGCAACAGCAATATTTGGTGAAGCTGGTGTTAGCGCAGCAACAGGAGTAATGACTGTATGTTTCATTTTCCTTGCTTGATCAATTAATAAGCATAGATATGGAGGTACAGAGTTTGATATAGGGATAAGTATTTTGGACATTCAAACTTTAAAACATGCTGTTTAGTGCTTAATTTATGTTTGTTTTTTATCTTTTCACCGTACCCTTTTTGTATCAACAAACTTCTAATTATGAATTATCCCAATAACTAGTATTCTGTAGTCTTCACTCAGTAATCTCAGA